GCCATTTTTTTTCTCGCGGTTTTCTTTCGCGTCACGCAGGACGGGCTGAGCGAAAGAGAAACTACCCGTAGTCTATACGTTGCTGCGAAGAGAGAGATGAATTAAAAGACAGTAAATTCATAATGCTTAGTCAGACAAACAAGTTTGTTTAGTAGGTCAGACTAGTCAGACAAGATCCGCCTTGTGTCTGGGCATGTGACGAATTAGGTCATCGATCGAGATACTTTTTGGCTGATGTCATAATACAATTTTAGCCCTGTGTCGCGACGCATTCGTCGTTGTTTTTGCCCAAAATTTCGGGCAAGCAGCCGCAAATATCACTTTATAAACCTAATAAGGTCGCTTGTCTTCATAAATAATAATAGAAAATCATATCACGCGGGAAAAAAATAGACATTGAAGCAAAAATTAACGTTTTGTCTCATATCACGAGACACAGCTTTTTTCTGTCATGTGATCTTGTGTATGCATTTAAGTCTTGTTCAGCCAGACTTTAGCGAAGAACCTATCTAACCTCTTTCATTTCCATTTAGCCCGTACATAGACGTATAATCTGATGAATCTTCCACATTCAATACAGTAAGTGAGAATCTCAGTTTCTCATGACACGTAATGCACATTTTTTGAACCAAAAAATCGAAAGTGAGCAACGAAAGGTCACCATCATGTGCAGAATAGCAAATCGAAAATTCACAGATTATGCCATTTTAACCAACTAATTTGCACGTAACCGAGAAAAAAAAGCTACTGGTTGTTCCAGCCAGCGTAGATATGACATCCAAAGATGAAAATGCAAATTAATCGCGGAACGTTTGTTGCTTCGGAACGTGTCACGCACACAACGTAAACTTACATATTATAAGACAGATGTGGACTAAAGATCCAACATTTAAGTATATTTCTCTCTAGAGCGAAAGAGTATGAAAACATGAACAACCAAAAACCTGTTTSTCAGTTTTCAAAACTTAAGCAAGCGAACACGAAGGTTCACCCGCCTCAAAATAATGACTCAGCATAAATAAGCAAGCACTGTAATTAACTCCTCACAATGTTTCAGAACGAAAACAAATAGTGAAACTATTTTTTAATACTGTCTCTATCTTCATTAGAAATGATATACTGTAAATGACTGTGACTTCTGTACTCACCAGCATAGCGAAGCTCACTGAAACCAAACAGCCTTTCATCGTGGCAGTGACCACCGAGACAGCTTTGGGGCGCGACTTCGTCGAAGTGAAGTTTGCTGAGTGTTGAACTCGTTGTCTCATTTTTGAATGGAGGTTATTTCCTTTGAAGAGATTCAAGCAAAGCACGAGAGAACTGAAGTACTTTTCAGGTACTACTTTAGTAAACCACTTTATGACGTATTCGGCACGTTTTTCAAGGACAATATTCCTCCTATGATGTTTTCCGCTTTCTGTCCAGGCCGTCTAACAGTATGTCTCTCAAGACCAAGGAATATCTTAGTGAATGGTAACACGTACCAAATCAAGTAAAACGACGCCTATTCCTGGTTTAAACGATGAGTTTCGTTTTATGTTATAACTTAGCCGGATCGACGTAACTCCTTCTGAACGGATCTGGCGCCCAGGGGAGTATTTTCGGGGATTCCCCAGCTGAGGCCAGGCCACATGGCTAACGCAGATCCGGTTTGTCACGACCGTCAAGAATTCTGTGGACAATGCGTGAAGGTACGAGAAAAAAAATTGGTAGAGGACTGACATGTGCTATTCCGAAAAATATCCCTCTGTTGCACGTACAATGTAGTAATATCTGGTCTATCTTGCTTTTTGTAAAGAAATCCAATGCAGACATATAGACAGCCATGTCGGTTTGAACGTAGTCAATAGAGGAAAATGGTTTAAGCAGCCCTGAAAACTTCAAAGTAGCAAGCAAAATGTTAAGATTGATGATGGAGGCTCCATGCTCATGCGCAATCTTTTGTTTTCCGTAATAGACTATACGTGAAACGTTCCTACTGGTTAGCTCCTTAGACAAAAGGAAACATCTATTATGTTTTTTGCGAGGTCAAAGCCAAAAATAGCCCGCAGTACAGTCACACGTTCGTGTCACAAAATCCTCGATATAGTTTACCGGTGATGAAGAATGTTTGTGTCGCAGGCTAGGCCAGGAA